GAATATTTTGAACCTTTACCATCTGTAAATGAATCATCAATTGTCGATAATCGAACTGGTGAAATTTCTTTTCAAACATTAATCACTATGCCTGCTGTAATGTGGAATTCATGTTTCGATGCATACAGTCAACCATTTCAATCAGCTAGAAATGTATTTCGACATCTTTTTCCACGTGATAAAACAATCAATTTTCTTCTCGATAATTGTGATTCAATTCTTAATTATTGTTTATATTTTTTATTCAACAAAATTCCTATCGAACTTTTTTATAATACATCATTGCCAGCTGATTCGATTCGAATGTTTGAAGATCATCAAATTGGAACATGTTTATTGAGTCTTTCAACAATGATCAATGAATTGTTATGTTTCTATAGGAAAAATAATAATAAAAACATTGATAATGTTTATCAATGTTTGGAAAAGATTTTCATTCGTCTTAACGATGAATTTATACGATGTAAAGGTCTAATGGTTAATGATGATACCGATAATAATGATTATCATAGTCAAACATCAACAACAAAAAAAACATTGGAAAATCAATTTGAAGAATTAGAAATGAGTAGAAAAGAAAAGAAAAAATTGAATAAGAAAAAAAATCTAACAAATAAACAAGAAAAAATTGAACGAAAAATTTGTTCCATATGGAATTCGACAACATCGAATAATGATTATATAAGAATTGCATCGTTTCAAGCTTTAAATGCATTTACTCGATTGACTAGTTTTTTCTTTGGCAATGATAATAATTTTAATGAAGAAAATTTTAAAAATATTTCCAAACAACGATTATGGTTTAAATTATATAAAGGAAATTATTTTACAACCATTATGAATGGTATGATTGATTCAACTATTGAAATTCGTGGTATTTCATGGTTATTGGCTTCACATTTATTATCTAATCATAATGATAATAATATTTTCAATCAATTATGGTCGATTGTTAATCGTAATGATTGGTTGGAAAAAACATTAAAACCATTTATTGCAAATGGAATGAAATCACCTGGTTCTATTATTGATTTTGGTATCGATCGTATTGGTTTGAAAAGTTATTCGACATTATATCCAGAATTATCCTATCAAATGGATGCATATTTCAGTGGTTTAGGTTTAATTTGTCCACAATATTATGAACGTTGTTTTATGACAAATTTTAATGATAAAATTAATTTGATTATGATTTTTATTCGTTCATTTAATCAAAATCAAACAACAATTGAAAATTGTCATTCAATATTTGATTTATTTCTTACCAATCTATTGGATTCATTCAAAAATATTGGCCTTTTAACCGATTTATTATTTTTGATTGAATTATTTTTCAATATAATATATTTAGCTTTGCAAGAACTATCGTTGTTTCGTCCATCCGATGAACGACAGATGATGATTACATCTTGTATTGACCATTTACATTGTTTATTAAAACAAACGATAAACCAGGAAAAACGTGATTTATATCTTCGTAGCCAGATTTATTCAAATCATTTATTATTGATTAATCGTTTGATGAAACAACAAAAATTTGATGAACAATATCGATCCATATTGCAAACACGATTGTCAAACATTTATGAAGATTTATTAACAACAAATTTTCATCATGATCATAATATAGCTATTTTACGTTTTATGACCGAATCATTTTATTATTATAATGATGGATATTTTTCCTATGATTATTATTGTAATGAATCGGAATTGAATTTTGAACGAAATATTTGTAAACTGTTGAAACAACAACAACAACAACAACTTAATGATCAAAAACAAGTAAAATTTGAACCAAATGTTAATGATAATGATCAGATTGAATCATTGATGATGAATAGAAAAAAATTATTTGAAAATTGTCTGTTATTGATGACCAATACTACTACTAATCATAATCATCATCATCAATTATCAAATGAAACAATTATTTCATTACCAGATATGATACCTACACTATTTCCACATTACAATCGAATTCTAAATGAACTTATCAATCAACTGAACTTGATGTTTGAAACAAATATACAATCTGAATCAACTACAATGAAAAAATTTGAAGATAAAATCCATCAAACATATTTTATGTTAAGCCATTTGCAATATATAATCCGTTCGTTAACAAATTTACAGCCTGTTAATGAACATTGTTCACGTTGGTTTTTGAAAATTTATTCAATTTGTCAAGGTTTTATCGATGATGATGATGATACCAAATGGATAAAATATCGTTATATGATAATTGTTGGTTCAAAAATTCTTGATATTTATCTGGTTGATATGGCTAAATCAGAACAATCTGCTGAACATTTGAAAATGTTTCTATCAAATCTTGATCCATTTACATTTTGTATTATGATCAATCATTTAAATCAGATAAAAAATGTTCAAATGTCCGAATTATTAAGAAAAACTTTACAAAATTATAGCAAAATTTTGGATAATCATTTTTCCCAATATCAATTCAAATTATCATTAATTCAACAACAAATAATGACTGTATTTACAACATCGACCAATAAAAATCAAATAGATTTTGAAACAATAATATTGAATGAACTATTGAATCATATTGTAATCAATGTTGAACAATATGATGATGATGATGATGAAACATTCAAATTAATTGCAATTTTAATTGAAAAAATTTGTAATCATTACAATGAAATTGATAATATTGTTCAACATTGTTTTTATTTACAATTTCCAAAATTATTATTTAATTTATATCGAAAATTATTGAAAAATTCATCAAAATTATTTTTAATTGAAAATTTTTCCGAAAATTTTCATAAACATTCGGTTATGTTATTGGAAAAAATTGTTCAATCGATTTCTACAAATCCCGTTGTTGATGATGATAATGAACGAATTTTTGATTACATTGAAAATGTTGAAGAATTTTTCATCAGTACACAATCATTAATGTATGAAAATTATGATTATTTCGATAGGATTTTGGATCAACAAACTGCCTTACAATTGGAATTTATTCTGGAAAATTTTATTGATTTTAAAATTATTGATTGTAATGGATTAATAATAAATCGTATTGGACGATTCGTGAAAATTATATTGAATTCATTATTGAATAATGATGATAATCATCATGATTATCAAGAATCAGATAAAATTATAATGAAATTCCTTGAAAATTTAAATGAAAAATTTACAAAAAATATTTGTTTGAAATTTAAACAAACAAATGATTTTAGTAAATTATATAATTTATATGGAATATCTGGAAATTTTATGAAAACATTATTACAATTTATTGATCAAAATGTTAATGATAATGATGATAATAATCTGGATGTTTATATGAAACAAATATCCAAATGGAATATTGATCAACAATATAATGATTTGGTTAGATTTGTACGAATCAATTCGATTATTGTAATTATTGTAGAGAAATTGTTAAAACATCATCATCATTATAATTATAAAAAATTATTAATAATTACAATTGGACAATTATTGAATAATTTTTATTTATTGGATAAATTTTTTATTTTATCAAAACGTTGGAATCTACTGCCACCACCATCATCATCATCATTGATTTCAATTGAAATGATTTTTATTGATGAATGTAAACCACAATTATGGATGATATTGAAAACTGATGAAACAATTTTAAATGAAATTTTTCAATCATTTGTTGTTGTTGATCAAAAACAATCCAGATTAACATTGCCATTCATAGCTTATTGTATTGAAGAATATCCACCATCTTCATTATCATCGAATCGTTTATCATTGATGAATGTTTGTTCAACAATAATAAATTCAGTCGATTGGAATCTTCAATTGATTCAATTGATTGAAGAAAACAATGATGATGATAATTTTATTGATCAAACATTACATCGAATCATTGAACCAATTGTTATTGTTGAAATGATGATGACAACCAATGATGATGATGATAATCATCATAGTGATGATCAAACTAATATCGTGCAACGTTTTTCAAATTTTGCTGATCTTTCAGATGAAACTATATATGAATTATTATTTACCTTGAATATTGCTCTACATAAATTACCCAAAATGAATAATTCAATTAAATCATACGTCCAACATGTAATGAAATTATTAAGTCAAAGTAATTTTAGTCATTGTCAACAGCAACGAACATTTCCAACCATTAATAATTGGATGCAATATAAAATTACTTTTCTTACAGCTAATCTATTACAATTATTTATCGAACAATTTATTAATGATTCATCATTTGGTATCGATGAATTTAACATGTGTATTTCCCTATATAAACATTGGTGTCAATTAATATTTGCCATACCGGATGATCAAATTCAATTGGATACAGCCATTTTATGTAGTAAAATATTTCAATCATTATCGATATTTATATGTTCATGTCAAAAATGGATTAAAGATCATCATGATGAGGAAGAAGAAATCCATTTGAATATAATTGAATCGATACGTAATTTTCTTGCTTATCATTGTTTAAATATGTTATTACCATTATTTATAATCATTAGTGATTTATTCGATCAGAATAAACCAATGTTTATTGAATTGATACATAATTTATCCAAAGTTTTACTTTGTATCGATCAAGAATGTTTACAAGATATGGCTATGTTGGAATTAAATCAATCATTATTAATGTATAATGAAAATAGTTTGGTTGAAAAACGTATAAAATGTTTAATTGATCAATTATCAACATCATCAACAACAAAATCAAAACAAATGAATTGTCTACGTACTGATAATGGTTATTATGATTTTATTATTGAACATATTACACCATTATTAATGAAAAATGATTTGAATACAATATTTACTGCATATCATTTAGTTAGTTTAGCTTGTCATTCAGCAAATTGGTCATCAACAAAAATTATTGAAAATCGATTCAATGAATCAATGGATACAGAAATTACTGATATAACATTATCACAATTAACATCTATAAAGAATAATGATGGCCATAATCAAGATAATGATGATAACGTTGATAATATGTATTATCCACCGAAAATTATAATGGCATTATTAGAATCATTATTTTCAACAATAACTATCGATGATCTTCAATCACAAGCAACATTTGCCTATTTACTTGTTTGGACAATTTATCTAAGATTATTACAACAATTTCCATTAAAAGATCATGGTGAAAATGAAATTCGTTCTGATCTTATTAATTATTTGGTCGAATCAAATTTACATAATCAATTTTTACAGAATTTATTTCTATTAATGCATGATTCTTGTGATTGGAATGATTTAGATCGTAATCATTTACAATCGATTATTAATATCAATTCAAACAATAATCAATTGGATTGTTTAGAAGATTCAAATCGATTATTACAATTAATCAATGAAGAAAAATATGATACGGAACGAAATTCTCGTTTAGCTGTATTTGTTTATTATCAATCACTTTGTCATATGGCTAATTTGGTTCGTTGTTGGTTTAACACTTTACGACATCATCAAAAAGAATCGGTTGATTATGTAACAAGAAGATATTTTAGTCAATTATTAATGGAAAAAGAATTGGAACAGATTAAAAATGTTGATCAATCAAAATTGGGAAATATTCAAATTAGATTTAGTCGAAAATTACATGAAATTTCAGCAATTTATTCATTAAAAGAAATAAGTTTTGGTATAAAATTTACATTCGAATCAAATTATCCATTGACAGCATTATCAATACAATGTTTCGATAAAAGTGGTGTCAGTGAAGATGTTTGTCGTAAATGGTTACAACGTTTAACAATATTTTTCAATCGAATGGTATGTGTATTTGCTTTTTCCATTGATAAAACTTATTTCATTTCATTTAATTTTTCTTTCTTTCTTTCTTTTCTGAACAGAATTGTTCCATTCTGGATGGTATTATTATGATTAAACCTACAATGGATAAATTATTTGCCGGTATGGAAGAATGTATGATTTGTTTATATGTATTGTATGGTATGAATGCACAATTACCACGTTTTAAATGTCCACAATGTAAGAAAAAATTTCATACAACATGTATGGTAAGTTGAAATTGAATTAATTGAAATGAATTGATTGAAT